CCATAAACATATGAAGATAGACACAGCTTTCTTTATTTGTAGCTCTCCAAAGGTGGCCATTGTAATATGTTAAAGATAAATTGTTTCAAGGAGCTGGGGAGATGGCTCAGTGGAATAAGTGTTTACCTGGCAAGTGGACCTGAGTTCAATCCCTGGTTCTGCCAGAAAAAAAAAAAAGATAAATTGTTTCAGAAGAAAAAAAAAATGTTTCAGAAGTACACTGCAGGCAAAGGCATTACACTCCAGTTTTTATTTATTTATTTATTTTTGTTTTTGTTTTTTGGGGGGTGGAACTGGGGATTGAACTCAGGCCCTTGTGCTTGCCAGGGAAGCGCTTATTCCACTGAGCCATCTCCCCAGCCCATACACTCCAGTTTTTAGAGACTTCTTTCTAGAGTTTAAGGAAGAAAAAAACAGAATGAACTCTACATAATATTTATTTATTTATTTATTTATTTATTTATTTGGAACAGGGTCTCACTACGCAGCTCGGCCTCATAGTGATCCTCCTGTTTTCAGCCTCCCCAGCACTGGGATTATAAGCATGTGTCACCACACCCAGTCTCCGTGGCTGGCTCAGTGTGTCCAGGGGCAGGGCCGGCACAGCATGGCATGTGGTGCTGGGGATCAAACCCTGGTCGCTGTGCTTGCCTAAGCAGGGGCTTAGTCCACTGAGTCTAGATACTAGATACTCTTGCAGTGTAAGAGGAGTTTGGCCTGGACAGCCCACTAAGCATTCTCGCCAGCCCAAGAATACTTAAAAGGTGCCAGATATTTGTCTGTAAATGTTTCCAAATTTAATTAAACTGAAACATGTCCAGCCAAATAAAACATTTTATTTTTGTTTTTGCTGAAGCAGCATTCTAACTCCCTAGTGGCAGAGTCGTTTGTTTAAGCCAGAGCTTCCTAAAGGCTGGCTTGGGTTTGGGGGGTTGAAAGAAAACATGTTTTACTGCTTCTTTTGAAGAAGGAAGCATTTATTGCATAACTGCTATGTTTTCTGTACATCATTGCTCTTGACCATCACACCAGCCCAGTGAAGTCTGCAACAATCTCACATTGTTATGATAGAGAAAATTGTTACAGCAAACCAGTGGTCAAGACTGCTGCCTGAGGAGGTATATCCACTCTGTGCAGAGCTCTAACTTAAGCCAAGGTCCGTTAGATCTCAAGTCCTGGCCTTTCTGCTAGTGATTTGCCTTCTGTAAAGTTTACTGTGGCAGTAATTTTTATTGTTCTGAATGTATCACTACAATTACTAGTCAATTAAATCACTACTCAACTTAATGTAGGGCTTCATTATAAGATCCTGCAAAATCTGCCTGGCTCCTCTACCTCCTTTAGGGCCTTATCAAGGTCATCCATGTCCTCTCAACCACCAAATTTCACATTGTGCTGCTCTCTTCTCTACCCTAAACACTTTAGCTCCTCCTCAGTCGCATTTATCTCCGTGGTTCACAGCACTCTGGGCAACGGTGGCAGTAGCATGTGGGGCTGGTTAGTGGGCCTGTCCAGGCCAGACCCCTCTTACACTGCAGGAGTATGTAGAGTCAAGGAAGATGCTGGCAGGGCTGGACTGGCAGGACCACTGCGGGGGAAGAGAGCTACAAGGCTCTCTCAGGCAGGCATACTGCCTTCTAGCTCTAGGGTAATGGGGTTTTATCTCATTATTACCTGTTAGCAGGAATGGGGTTCTTTGTGCTTCTCTAGGATGGAGGATGTAGTCTGGACTGTTTGGTAAAAACCCTCAGTGCCTGTGCCTGAGCAGGACAAGGGCCAGCAGGAACTCACGAAAGACATCTTCAAAGCCACCAAATGATAATTTTCAGTTTAAACTTTGATAAAATGCCTTTCCCAAAAATGTATATAATTGGAAACTCTTTGTGTTCTTAATGAAGTTGTAGAATACAATGCTATTTGTCTACTTTACAAAGCGGTGAGCTCCTTGCAGATTTTTTTTCCCAATGGAAAATGAAAATACATTTTTTAAAGTTTCTCATACTAGGAGAAAATATCGTACCATGTCTTATAAGTAGATTGTAAGTCAAAGAAATAGTATAAATCATAAAACAAAAGTTAAAATTAAAAATATTCAGAAAATTAATTAAATATTAATTAATTCAAAATTAAATTAAATATTTCAAAATAATATTCAAAAATTAAAATTAAATTGTGAGTCCAACTAAAAGGCCAGAATGTAGTATATCATGTGTACAAATCTGTGATCAATTCAGAGTACTCACACAGTTTTTTTTTTTTTTTTTTTTTTTGGTGGAATTGGGGATTAAATTCAGGCCCTTGCGCTGGCCAGGGAAGTGCTTATTCCACTGAGCCATCTCCCCGGCCCCCCCCCACAGTATCTGATTAGGTTAGTATATACAAAAATATTGGCTAAGAAAAAGTTTTCATGATAGTAAAGAATTACTAAGAATAAAACATAACATAAATACTGGAATGGCAGATATATGACCAGCACTTGTAACAGTTTGGGGATAGGATATCACACAAAGTTCTAGTATGTGGTGGACGAGGACAGTGTCCATGATGCTTACTGGTGGCCAGGTGTCACTTGGACTGAGCTACTGCTATTTCCTTGATATCCACCCTGTAGACCTGGATGGAATCATGACCCATATGGATCCTTGCAGATTTTATCTGTTTCATATCTACTTATCCAGGACTTAAACCAGTCTCTGACTTGTCAAAGTCAAGAGCTAGATTCAAATTCTGCCTCTCACTTAATATAGTGCCAGACATGTGGAAGGTACTCTCTCTATAGTAATAGCTTTGAGCAGTACTTAATAATTTTGTATGATTACTTCTAGATAACACATCAAGTTTTTTGAATGAATGAATCTTTTACATTAGGGAAATCATTAGAATTCTTTAGGTTTTCATAGCATTAGGATGCTGATGGTATTTTTACACAATGGAGTATTATTCAGCTAGTAAGAATGGTAAACTCAAAGCCTTTATATTGAAGTGGATGCCACTTGAAGATATACTCATAAGTGAAATAAACCAGACACACATGTGTAAATATTGTATAGTTTCCCTAGTATAAGAACTCAAAAGAAGAAATACAAATAGAAAGGT